CTAAAAACGTTAGACACAAAGCAATGCAAATGCATCTAAAGGGGAAAGCTAACACGGAAATATCTCAATACTCAGAACTCATCCTGAACTGAACAACTACTACTCAGAAACCCATATTCTCACGCGGACTTATAGAGTTTTCTCCCGACCGAGAGATTTCTAGTACTTTCCACTTCACGTTGCATAACAATCTAAAATTAACCATTCACAGCTTAACTATACTTGTGTACCTACTTAGTATAAATACTACTCGCAAGCAACTACGTCATTCCTCTTCTTAACTTCTGCTCTTGCCAACATCTCCACGCTGCTTATGCTTCCCTGTCTAAGATGCTTACGTCGTGCTTTTGAAACCAGTGTACATAAAAATAATTGTATTTAACTATGTCTGACTTTAAATGTCTATCAAAATAATTTGATATGTGTGATATCTTTGTCTGTATGCCTTCACCTTCAAACATAACGAATATCGAAAGCTGCTAAAAGTACACTGAGCAAAAAGGAAAAAAAAAAAAAAAGTTAGTCAGTTCTATATCTCCCGTTCTACTGGGCCGATTGACGAAATTCAAATTGCGTTTTTCATGTCTCGAAAGCGCGACTTAAGATATGTATTAGATTTATATATAGCATCCTTCTAATATAGGTATTTTAACACAAAATCGGACGTTTTCTGAAATGACATGCCAATGTTGTTCCATATTTCGATTCTACAACTCAAATTATGCCAAACTGCCAAGTTTTGTAAAACTGCAAGTACTTTTTAAACAATTAGCTCTCAAAATTTTAGCTTCCTCAAGTGTTAATTGAATTCGGTGTATATTTATTAATATCTCCGTTTTATTAAACTTACTTGATTCCTTACTTCAAGCATTCGAAATTTAGGCTTAATCCAAATATAATACGAGCCATTTTTTATGATTTATTTTCAAAATTTGTATTTTTGAAATATTTTTTCAATAATTTTTCGAAAAACTGCATCTGTATTATAACCTATAAAAATTTTAACCTTCATCTTAAAGTAGATGTATTTCTAGGCATCATATGCAAAATTAATTATTGAGTTTTTGATTCAAAATTTCTTAAGATGTACGTGAATTTACATTTTGGCGAGTTTTGAAATTTGGTGTATTGTAATGTAATTGTTAATAACGATCAAATTGTGGTTTACGCACTTCGTTAAAATTATTTGAAAGTAATGAACGTGATGACTTTTTTACGCTCGTAGACAATTAAATAAAATGAAAGGAAAATAGGTTGCTGTAATATCAAGAAGTTCCCCAAGTGAAGTATCCTTGGCGCAAACTGAAAAAAAATGCGCCAAGCTAAATTTTTTGAATTTCTTCGTAAATTTAGCACCAAATTTTAAAAAAGTATATATTTAGGCATAATTTGAGTCGTAGAATCGAAATATGGAAAAAAAAATTTTTTTTCCATATTTCGAATATAATCGAAATATAATCGAATATAATCGAATAATAATCGAAATATGGAAAAAAATTGGCCTGCCATTTCAGAAAAAGTCCGATTTTTTGTCTAAATACCTACGTTAGAATAACGCTATATATATATATATATAATCTAATACAGCGATTTTCAGCCGGTGGTACATAATAGAAAAATAAGTGGTACGCAAAGGAACAAAGTATTTTTAATTATTAATTAAATTCAGGAATCTTGTGAAGAAAAAGAACAATTGATGGAAATTTTCTGTGATCGAACTCTAACTGAAGATTTCAAAAATAACCCACTCGTTAACTTTTGGCCGAACCGAAAAAAAGAATTTAAAAGCATTTCAAAAATAAGGCTATTAAACTTTTAATGCCTTCGTGCACAACCTATTTGTGCAAACAGGGATTCTCTTCTATGTTGTATTTGGAAAATAAATACAGAACAAAATTAAAATTGGATCCTAATTTATGGTTAAAACTAATCGAGCTAAGACCAGACATAAGGAAATTGCTCTCTCTTAAACATGCCCAAATTTCACGCTAAATTTTATAATTAAAGTATTATAACTTAAATCTTGCTAATTAAAATGGCAACCAATTTTAATTTAATATTATATATATATATATATATATAATATTTCGATGAGAAATTGAAAAAAATCATTGCTAAATGTAGTGGTGGTACTAAAAGTTTTCCAATTTTTGTTTAGATGGTGCGCGTTAGTTAAAAGGTTGAGAACCGGTGATCTAATATATATCCCAAGTGGCGCTTTCGAGATATTAAAAACGCAATTTGAATTTCACAATCGGCCCAGTAGAACGGGAGATATAGAACTAACTGTCCTTTTTTTTTTTTTTTTTTTTTTTTTTTTTCAGTGTACCAGTGTTTTCAACGCAATTAAAATATTGTGAATATATATAATATCGCTTCTCGGCCTTTTGGCTAAGATCAAAGTGTGTATATATATAATAATTTTGATGCGTAGTGTGCTGGCAGAGTGGCAAGAAGAGACGAAGATGACGAAACTGGATACCGGCAAATCACCAATCTATATTTTCACAGATATTCAATTAATTTAGCAGACACTTACTTATTCATTCATAATTAAATATGATAAATTTCTATGTACATTGGTTTTTTTTTAAAGAATTGACGTAGACATTTAAGAAGTGAAGCAGCGGGGATGTATTAGCCGGTGCGATGCTAGCAAAAGAATGACATAATTAACTCGTCGGCGGTATTTATACTAAGTCTGATGTAATTGTAGAGAAAAGCTGTGATTGGTTAATTTGAGGTTGTTACATAACATAGAAAGATCTCGAATTTGGCAAAACACATGAATTTAGGGCGAAAGCACCAAATCTAGAATCCTTAATTTTGAAGTCGCCAATTATTTGTAAAGCGGCTATCGTATTTTCTTACATCTTACGCACGTATATATCTATTAATATATTAGGTAGTAAGTACAATATAAAAAGACCAATTTGGTCTAAAAATTTTTTGCGCAATATGCTGCAAAATTAAGGAAATGAGAAGAGAAAAGAAATTGTAGTTAAAAAAAGTTACCAGATATAACATGTTCTTTATACACACACACACACACACACATATATATATATATATATATATATGAAGGGGAGAAACTGCAATTTCGCAAATAATTTTACTAAAAATAGTTATATTTATATATGTACAAAATTGGTAACAATACGTATATTTTATTTTCGGGACTAATGCAGCACTTTACAATAAAAATTATTACGCATATGCCTTTGAATTAGACTTAACAACTTTGTTTATGCATACTTTACATACGCAAATTCAAAATGAACTTCGAGGAATCAGGACGCCGGAAGCTACACCTAATGACTGGCGATATCAATTCATAATTAGAGTTGAATAATAAAAAATTAAGCACCGTGTATTCTCTAATTTTTTCACATTAAAATATTAAAACAATTCTTGGCTCATTTATATTTCAAAATTTAAATTATGCAAGACTGCTTATAAGGTATTTCCCCCGTCTTCTAAGCATGCCTTCGTAGTATGGCGGTCTGCACGCTGGGCGCGTATTCCAGAGAAGCGTGGTTCGATTCCCGGCGAAGGCATTTCTTCTTTTTCACCTTTCCTGCTTCCAAAAAATATCTAATGTCTTTACAGTGTCGCCCGAACTAAAAGGGTGTTGGATGATGATTCTCCACACCCTGGATTTGGCGATTGGGTCCCCTAAAAACTCCAGTCGTCCTTTAAAAAGGGAAGTATATGAGGTATTTCTCCCGCCTTTTTAGCGTGCCTTCGTGGTGTAGTGGTTTTGCACGCTGTGCGCATATTCAAGAGGTCTGTGGTTCGATTCCCGGCGAAGGCGTTGCTCCTTTTCCCCCTTTCCTGCTTCCAAAAAAAGTACCTAATGTGTCTACATGTTCAGAAAATTAAATTTGCACAGCGGTGTAAAACATAGTTGTAGGGTAATTTTTTTTTCTTTCGCAAGTTGGCTTTTTAGTTTGCTGCTGTTTGCCAAATGCCCCCCCACACACATTTTTTTTTTAAAGAAAAGTTTGCAGCAATAAATCATTAACAAACTGGAAGTGAGTGCTTGCCCTTGCTATGTTAATTTTTTTAAATTTAACCAAGTAGGCTAAAAACTAAATTGTTTTTCCACCATGTGTTAATTTTTCTAAAGCTTCTTTATGCTAATTAAACAGTTATTTTCCGATTTATGCCGCTCATGTCACTTCTTCCCGTTTCCGCGACAGAATGCGAATTAGTTTGCGTGTATTTAAACTAAGATTTTTTAGATTGTAAGACAGAGAGCGTTCGGCTTCTCGAGGCCACGTTACTAAGCTGTTTTTTGCTCAGATAAGATTCGTATTCTTCTGCCTTGCATTATAATTGCCGATATTTGAATATTACGCCGGTTAGGTTTTTGAGCCAACTTTGCGTTAACTGATTTGTATAGCCTTCGGCTACAAGATTACTTGAATTTTAATTTTACATTTGACTGTCAAGTTACATCGCCACTAGTGATTGGCTGAGTTGTAAGCACCAGGTGTGCTTTTTGTTCTTCTTTAGTTTTAAATAAAGGCTCTTTTACACCCTTTTTAAGTCTCAGTTGTTATTTTAGACTTAGTAATAATTCGCTATCAGTCTATCTATTGGTTACAGTTTACGATAGCAAAGAAGATAACTAAATTTCATAAATTCACTAATTACTGCTGCAAATAGATTTATTTAAAATTTAAATTTATTTTCCTCTAAAAACGTAAGTGTTTAATTTAGATTTCTTTATATCTGAAACGTTTAAGTAGTAGCTAACGGCGGATAACAAATGAGAATTAAAAATGATAAAAACTCCCAAAATCGTATAATTTCATGGTTAATAAAATCTATTCAGTTATGAATATGCATAATAAAAGCTTTGGTCTATTTAATGCCCTGCTTTGTTGGGATGTTCTTTTAATAAACTTTGGACATCCCGCTTATAACATTTCATTATTTGAAGTATGAAGAATATATATGATGTCTTTTGAATTTTTCTTTTCTCTAACTGATAGATCCCATGTCCTTCTGCTGCTAGCATTGTCGTTGTGACTGATAAGAATGGAAAGGTTTTGGATACTGTAGACAACAGCCAAGGTGTCTATTCCATGCAACAACCATTGCCTCCGCTTCCTGAATTAGTTAGACGTAGGACTGTGTATGAAGAATTGGACAAAAGTATTATCTTAACTTGTCCAGGGTAAGTAAAGTGCACTTAATATTTTCTTCATAGGCAAAGTGCATGCTGCTTAAGTCCCTTTGCGTAAGTGGTAGGTCTGGCACTAAAGACTCGGACTAGTCATTTTGTGTATTATGCCAGATAGTGTGATTTTGGATTGAGTCTCTGAAAGCACAGCATTCCAGGACTTCTCAAATGACAAGCCGTAATTAGTTAAAATCCTGTGTTAAATCCAAACAGCTTACTAAAAATATGTATATAAGTTGACAACTTTATTGAGTACTTGATATAATCAGCTTCACATACATCTTGAATTTAAACATAAGTTTCCCAATGGGATACTAGCAAAAATAGGAAAATTACATATTCATAGAATTTTTATAACAATGCAAGCAAAAGACCGAAGCATAACGTGTGCAGCAAATCCGATGCCATCTGCAAAAAGTAAACAAGTTATTCATAAAACAAAGTCTTGTAGACAGCGCCCGCCATCTATTGACGGCATTACGTAACAATATTGTGATGGTAGCGATAAGGAGCGGGCGTTGCTACTGATAAATACGACAACCCTAAAGAGAAGTTTTTTGAGAAGTGCGGAAGGAGTAGAGAGACAGGCTGTAGGGAAGTATTAGCACGGTTATCTGAATTTTTGAAATAAAGTTTAAATTTTTATCGCGTATTATGCCTAATTAAAGTTTTTGATGAATGCAGTGAGAATATTTAATGCAATGAGGCTAACGAAGATCGGGTGGATACCACAATGATCACCACAGTATTTTAAGACAGTTTTAATTGCTAAGAACTGCACTATGGAAAGAAAGCCAAAATTTACTTACACATAATTTATGTTAGACTAGATTTAATTTCTGCCCCCCCCCCATTTACGATAATGTAACTACCGTCGAAGATGTTATGACACAAGTTTCTTGTTCAACATATATTAAATGCGCTATAATTCACTAAAAGTTTCGCAGTATAATTCATAAATTCCCTCACTACACTTTTGAAGTTTTTATTTAAAATACATATCTTCACAAAATATGTATTTTATAAACAGATGAGATATGCTCAGTTTAAAAAAATATTCTTTATTATATGAAATGCAATTTAGTTGACAAAAAAATTATTTAAGCAAGAGTACAAAGGAGATTAATTTAAAAGAAATTATGAATAATAAATTTAAAATAAAATCGTTATTTCATTCAACAACCTCCCCCCCCTCTAAAAAAATGGCGGGCAAGAAGCAAAAGTGTGTGAATAAACCCATTTAAGTGACTATTGTAATTTCAAGGAATTCAGGAACTTGCTTTTACGAGTTGATTTAGTGAAATTACGAAAGTGTCTTCTATGTAATTGTTATTTAATCATTTCTGATACTGTTTCTAAGCAATAATGCAGTATTTAAGCAACAATACGATGAAGTGGAAATGTAAGAATATCCTTTATCATGCACATCTGTCATCTATTCTCTGTGATAAATACATAGATACAAATGCTTATGAGTCCGCCATTGGCCGAGTGGTTAAAGATCGTGAGCTCACCAATGGCCAAGTGGATAAGTACGCGGGCCCACCCGTGGCCGAGTGAATATTGTTAGTTTAACCCGGGTTCGAACGGATTTCCTGCATTTCTCAAGTATGTAATGTGAATACGAGCTAGTTTCCCTTAGAAAATTCTAAAGGAAGGCATACCTTTCCTTAGGCAGATCTCGTATCCTTTGCTATACTCAAATAATCTAACATAATATAAACAAACTGCGCTTCTTTCTTTGCACTGATGACAGAAATTTTCGTGGAAAAAAACGTTTAAATATTTATTATTTATTATTAATTTATTAATAATAATATAAGAATTAATTAATTTAAGGAACAAGGAAGGAAAGTTTCTGATTTGGAGAAATGAATCTTATATTATCAACCCCAGCAAAGTGCACATTCGAACGAAAGGAAGAGTGAAAATTGATCTTGCTAATAACCTTATCATTAGAAAACTTCGCTACACCGATACAGCTACATACAGGTAACTACTTTTTCGAAATCGACTTTAAAATGGTGTGCATTAATGCAACATACTTCAAATAACATTTAAACTGAAATTACAAATTAATTTGATTTCGAAGCTTTTGAATTTTCAGGGGCAGGTTTAAACGAAACTACCTTTGTAAGTTTTAAGCGATAAATATTGCTACACTTAATTTTTCAGCAGATAATTTATTGGAATTACTAACTATTTATTGCCATTAGCTAGCAGTTTAGCGAAGCATAATAGTAGGGAGACAACAGAATTATTATAACATATTTTAATTCCAGATGATCAAATAATCTCACATAGCAATGTGTGATTATTTGATCATCTGGAATTTCGACCTCTCATCAAGTACCTTTCATGAACCTTATAAGAAATAGACTAACCCAAACGGGTTTTCTCCCTCGTCTGAGGCGTTGCCGGCTGTCACCTTGATCACATCCGGAGGAGTAGGGACAATACCTCCTACGTACTCCTGTATGTAGGAGGTACTCAAGATCAGTAAAATACTTTCTTATAAGGTTGGCGCATTTTTAAAGCGATAGCTACTGCGCATGCCATGGACCTTATAAGAAATAGACCAACCCAAATGGGTTTTCTCCCTCGTCTGACCCGCTTCCGGCTGTCACTTTGATCACATTTGGAGGAGTAGGGAAGACTTGCAGGAATTTAATAGGGGTTGTCTTGTAAGGATCTTAAGTTTTACTAACGTTTATTTTATTTTAAATCTTTACTATCACTTCTTATTTTCTCCTTCCGGCCAGAATTAAAAGCGTTAACTTATTTATGCAAAAATTGTCTGGCGAACGCCAAGTACTTAAGTTGTGGCTTTTTGCCAAGCGAGAGAGAGGAAGGAGTTAGTCGAAGCAGGCCGCTTACCTTAGAAGTTTTACTCAGTTGCTGGTTGCCTTCCAGGCCAGAGGTTTAATCCTCTTGATATTTTAATTAAACGTATTGTAGTGTTCACAGTTCTCTGTACTACATACGGCTTCCTGTTATATAAGGCCAATCTTCCACGTTTATTATTTCAAAGTTAAGTTAGAGTTTAGTTATATTTTTATATTCTTACGTTTAGACCACAAGTAGTGGGTCTTTGTATTCCGAAGTACGGAAATTATTGTAAAGAGAGAAAAATAAAGGGTTTTGTATACCCTTCTTGTGTATCCTGTCTACTTTCCCACAGTTATTGAACATAGCTTTAGTAAGCTCTCTGTTCCGAGTCAGGTCCTTGCATGTTTCCCGAAGAAAGTAAGACGGAACATTGAACCTGATAGTGGCGCCCAACGAAGAAGAATAACCATGGCCGAGTTTCAAGAAGAACCTGTGCTGCCTGCAGAAGCGGCTCAGAATCCAGAAATGCCAGCTGCCGCCCTGGAAGGATTTGGTTACATCGTCCAGACCATGCGCGCGCTTCGATGAAACCAGAAGCAACATTTAATGGAAACTCACCGGTAACCAGTTTTTTTTTTGGAAAAATTGGATGACCACTTCATGCTCTACCCCGTGCACGAATTTCAAAAAGTTACCTTAGCTACCAGCGCTTTGAGGGGCCAAGCGCTTAACTGGTTCAAATGTATAGGCAGAAGTCTCTTGGGTCAAGCAGGAAGTCCCACCTATACTTACGAAAATTTCAAGACTGCCCTACTAAAAGCCTTCCCTGTTGTAAGGGATCGTGCGAAAATAGAGAAACGGAACTTTTCAGCATATATCAACAAAGAATCGAAAATCTCTCAAGCTTTATTTTAAGAAAAATTCACGTCTTCAAAGCTCTTGTATGGAAACCGTCCGGATCCTGAGATAATTCAAGTGATTTTGCCGAGGTTACTGCCCCAAGTGCAAGACTTTATTGAATTAAGAAATCCGACTACACTGGAAAAGTTATTTGAGCTAGCAATCCAGTTTGAAAGTAGAAGAACGGCGGACATTGAAAGAAGACGCCAATATCAACAGCGAAACCAATTTGGTGCGCCAAGACTACTACAGCAAACTCAAGCACACGGCTACGGAAGCAAAGCGAATCAGTGGGCAAGGAAACCCGAGCATTCAAAAACAGCCGGCGAACGTCGACAGTTCAATAGCAATCCAGGAAAAAAGTCTCAAGGCCAGTGGAAAAAGAAGGAAAGCACGGAAATGAAAAATAATTTAAACTAAAACGGATTTCTGCTGACGGGAGGGTGCGGAAATCCGAAGGCCACGAAAACCCCTCTTCCTTCAAGTTAAATACAGTAATGGTGAAAAATTTGACTCTTCCGAAGATTGAAGTGTTGGTGAATAATATCCCAGCCACCGCACTCCTGGATACAGGCGCGCAGTGTTCCTGTGTGGCAGAAGATTTTTTTAGGAAGTATTTTCGCAAATACCGCATATATAATTCGGATAATACGACAGTGTTAGCGGCGGCGCAAGGAGAAAGATGTAAGTGTATAGGTAAATTACCGCTGTATGTCCGTATCAAGGACGAACAAGTAAAGGTTATGTTTTTTATAGTAAAGAATCTGCAAGCACATATTATCTTAGGAATAGATTTTCTTTCAGAGGCACAAGCAACGCTAGATTTTAATGAAGCGTCCCTTAAGCTGACAATGAAACCAGTTCGTGAAGAAAAGGCTGAACCGCCGATGTTAAATCTTGACCACCTGCCTAATGACGAGCAACGAAGAATCCGACAAGTGGTAAGTGAATTTGCTTCGTTATTTAGTGATATTCCAGGATTTACTCAGGTTACTAACCATAGTATTGACACCGGAGATTCAATGCCAGTTCGCCACAAAGCATACCGGTATGATAAGAATAAGGAAAAAATTATAGAATGGCATATCACCGATATGCTACGTAAAAAGATCATAACGCCCATCTCAAGTAGTTATGCTAGCCCGGTGGTTTTATGTAAGAAAAATAATGACTATCCTTTGACACATCCAAAAAGGTGGAGATTCGCAATTGACTACCGTAAATTAAACTAATATCCAAACTAACTAAATATCCGGTATATCCGTTACCTATTATTGAAGAAATTTCTAAGGAACATAACATCCACCAAATATATGACGACTTTAGACTTAACGACTGGTTATTTTCAAATAGGGGTTAGGCCTGAGGACGTGCCTAAGACTGCTTTTATAACCAAGTCTGGCACTTATGCATTTTTGCGTATGCCGTTTGGCCTTTCAGGGGCACCGGCAACATTTCAGCGATGTATGGACATTGTGTTAAGGACCTGTTCTTGGAAAGTCCACATTTATCTATTTAGACGATATCATTATTACTAGTGATAATCTCGACCAACATGTACAGGATTTAAGACAGGTGTTTTCTTTATTAAATGAGGCCGGTCTAAAAGTTAATGTCGAAAAGTGCAAATTTGCAGCCCCTGAATTAAAATATTTAGGTTACAAAATATCTCAGAAAGGGAATCGAGACAGACGAATCAAAAATAATCGCTGTACAAAAGTATCCGACTCCAAACACGGCAAAGAAGCTCTCTTCTTTTCTAGGACTTTGTTCATATTATAGGTCCTTTATAAAAGATTTTGCAGCTATTGCTGAACCATTGTTAAAATTAAAAAGGAAAAAGGCAAGATTCTCGTGGACGGCCGAAGCCAATAGTGCTTTCGAAAAATTAAAACAAGCATTAACGCAAGCCCCTGTGTTGAAATTTCCTGAAAAGGATGAGAATTTAGAAATTTCAGCGGATGCTTCGGATTATGCGGTAGGAGCGGTACTTTCGCAAAATCAGCAGCCCGTGGCATTTTTTAGCCGAACTTTAAATCAAACACAAAGAAACTATTCCGCGACCGAGAGAGAGGCACTTGCAGTTCTGTTAGCAGTGCAAAAGTTCCGAGTCTATTTTGGAAAGGCGCCAATAACAGTGTACTCTGATCATGCGGCGGTAACTAGATTGTACTCAGGGAAAAACTTATCCCCAAGGTTAATAAGATGGGCACTCAAGCTACAAGAATATAATCTGGTAATCAAGCATACCCCCGGAAAGGAAAATATCGTAGCAGATGCCCTATCCAGAATTAAAATAGATGAAGAAGGTAATACCTGTAAAGGTGGCAATGCTCACAGCATGTACAATAAATTCCCGAGAAACTGTAATAACCGAACTGGGTAAGGATCCTGAGTTTGGAAGCATTTATGAGTATTTAAAGGATCCTGAAAATTTTAGCCACCAAGATATTGTGGCGATAAGAAATAGGGCGGCCCATTACGAACTAATAGATGGTCTATTATTTTATACAAAAACTACGAATTCCAACAACGAATTTCGACCTGTTATCCCAGCTAGTCTTAGATTAAATATCCTGCAGGAGCTCCATGACAGCCCTTTAGCTTCTCATGCTGGTATTCGAAAAACTATCCAACGCGTACGCGAGGCAGTCTATTTTCCTGAACTGCAAAAGTTAACAAGGGCGTATGTCCAGTCCTGCCCAACATGTCAAGCAGTTAATTATATTAATTTCCGCCCGGCCGGGTTTCTAAATAGTATTAAATCCGAATTTCCAAATGAAATAATTGGCATCGATTTATTGGGCCCTTTCCCAAAAAGTCAGTTAAATAAAAGTCGCTATCTCCTTGTTATGGTTGATCATTTTAGTAATGGACCGAAATTGTTCCCTTAAAACGAGCCTCCGCGAAATTAGTTACTGATTCTATTTTAAATAAATATATTTTAAAATACGGGGCGCCCCTAAAAGTTATATCGGATAATGGTCCTCAATTTGTAAGTAATATATTTGAAGACATGTGCCAAAAACTGGGCATACGTCATTTAAAAATGGTCCCGTATCGGCCGCAATCAAATATAGCGGAACGGGTCAATAGAAATATAGTGAAAATTATCCGTAGTTATGTTAAAAATTTTCATAAAAGCTGGGATAACTATGTCAATGAATTTGCTTTGGCAAACTTTCGCCATGAAAAACTCCTGCTGAGTTATTTTTAGGCAGAAAGATTATAACGCCGTTAGATAAATTATTTTATGTGCAACA